TCCCGGGTAGAGGTGAACGTTTTCAAGGGAAGAGTGTGTCGGAGGGAAGTCAAGTGAAGGAACCCAGAACTCTGAGGCCGGAGCGGGTATGCGAGCAGGGAGGCGCTCAGTGGGGAGCTGGAAGTCTCTGAAACAAGAGTTTTCCGAGAAAACGAAAGATCCCTAATGCGAGCGAGGTAACTTCTAATGGGTTCCCAGGTTCTAAGGGGGAGCAGACGTGGCGGGGAGCCTGAGGGAAGTGAGAAGGAAAGGGGAAAGCGGCCGAGAAGGGAACGTCCGCCGCCACTGAGAGGGGGACCTCTGGGAAGCCGAGGGGTCCCGTCGGGTGCGGAGGGGCGCAGGCGCCTCTGCTCCGGGGCAGAGGAGGTGGAGCGGCCGCGCGCGCGGGCCGGGCAGGATGCCCGGGTTTGTGTCCCCCGTCCTCTCTTCACGTTACCTGAGGCAGGACTGAGCAGCCAGAGGGGTGCCTGCGCGGGCGAGAGGAGGAGACGCCGGCAAAGAGGGAGCATAGTAACCCTCACGGCTTGTTGGTGGCAGCGGCTCCTTAGCCTGCGGAGGCGGTGGGAGCCCCTAGCGCAGAAGCCGGCGACTCAGCTGGGCTAGTGGCGGCGGAGAACGAGGAGACCACTGCCATGGCCCCACAGTTGGGGCCGCTCCCCCCGCCTGTTTGGCGGGGCCAGGAGGACAATCCGACCAGTGAAACCAAGAGGGCAGCTGGTAACTCTGCTGAGCTCCCGGGCCGCGAGAGACTGAAACGCCTACCCGGCCCAGCAGGGGGGCTGGGGGCGGGGTCTCGCTTGACCACGCCCCTCCCTCAAGCCCTCCCTCAGAGTAGCCAATCAACTGTCAACTCCTGATAAACGAGCTAGTGGGATTACCCAATTAGCGCTAGGAATGCCACGTGGTATGAGGGTGGGCACAATGGGCGTCCAGAAAAGCCAATCAACAGCCGTAGGCGCCAACTCCGGAGGACGAAGGGAACCAATAGGAAGGAAGTCGAGGTAAAAACAGAAGAAGCAGTGTGTGGGAAAGGGAGGAGGAGGGAATACACCTGGGGGAAACCCAAGTCCTGGAGCCTCTTAGAGGGCGGGGAAGTAAACACAAGATGGACCAATAAAAATGTTAAACACAGAAATGATTGGTAATTGATAAAGCCAATTGAAAATGGACTAGACTGGCGCGGCTTTCGGGTTGGTCAAGGTATAGCTGAGTAAGGAAAAGCGGTAAGAATGCGGCGTCCCGCAGGATCTCAGTATAGTGAGGAGGAAAAAATATATAAATAATAGCGACTTGAAATAGTAAGAGCAATCAGTAGAGCTAAACAAAATGCTAGGGAAGAAATTAATCAGGACTATGAGATTCGGTTAAGTGAAGGCTTGGAGATAACACTTCAGCTAGCTTGAAAACAGATTTTGAAAGAAAGCTGGTGGGGAATAAGTTGGGATTTTTTGTTTGTTCTGTTGGGTTTTTTTTTTTTTTTTTTTTTTTTTTAGAAGGGTCTCACTCTGTCGCCCAAGATGGAGTGCAGTGGCGCGATCATGGCTCACTTACAGCCTCAAACTCCTGGACTGAGGCGATCCTCCCAACTCAGCCTCCCCGGGTAGCTGGGACTACAGGGGCACGCCAGCATGTCCGACTAATTTTTTGTATATTTTGTAGAGGTGGGGTTTGCCATGTTGCCCAGGCTGATCTGTGACTCCTGGACTCAAGTGATCTGCCCACATCAGCCTCCCAAAGTGCAGGGATTACAGGCGTGAGCCACTGCTCCCAGCTAAGAATTCTGCCCGCTGTTCAAGGCACATATTCTCTCTTTGCATGTGCCTGGACATCAGGAGTTCATAATCTCATGCCTGAAGAGACTGGAACAGGAAGACAGCAAGAGCGAGCAGTATGGGACTTACTGTATTAGCACTCCCGGGGGTTAGAGACTCCTTTTCAGACATCTTAAGACTTCCATCCTCCTGGAAGAGTATAGGTGGTATGCATTCCTGGTGGCAATAAAGTTTAAGAAATACGGCCAGGGCCAGGAGCAGTGGCTCCCGCCTGTAATCCCACCACTTTGGGAGGCCGAGGCAGGGGGATCAAGATGTCAGAAGATCAAGACCATCCTGGCCAACATGGTGAAACCTCATCTCTACTAAAAATATAAAAATTAGCCGGGTGTAGTGGCGCGCGCCTGTAGTCCCAGCTACTTGGGAGGATGAGGCAGGAGAATCGCTTGAGCCGGGGAAGCAGAAGTTGCAGTGAGCCGAGATCGCACCACTGCACTCCAGCCTGGGCGACAGAACAAGTCTCCCTCTCAAAAAAAAAAAAAAAGAAAGAAAGAAATATGGCCAGGCACGGTGATTCACTTCTATAATCCCAGCACTTTGGGAGGTCAAGTTGGATCACTTGAAGCCAGGAGTTCGAGACCAGCCTGGGCAACATAACGTGACCCTGTCTGTACAGGGGGAAAAAAAAAAAAAAGTCCAGAATGGTGGCATGTACCTGTGGTCCTAGCTACTTGGGAGGCTAAGGCCAGAAGATCACCTGAGCCCAGAGGTCAAGGATACAGTGAGCTGTGGATGGTGACACTGCACTCCAGCCTGGACAACAGAGCAGGACCCTGTCCCAAAAAATATATAAAAAGAAAGAAAGAAATGTGGTAGGAGATATTGGAGAGAGAAGAGGCTGCATGTGGGTTGGGCTAAAATTCCAATATTCAGATTTGTCCTTTTTTATGCTGTGAGTGCTATTCTTGAGCAGGACCATAAACTAAACAGGGCAGTGTTTTAGGAAGATTAATTGGTAGCTCCCAGGATCTCTGAAGGTAGAAGAGAGATCACCCCAACCCAGTTCCCCTGACCAAAGGCTTTTTGGTACCATTCTTCTGGCAACAAATCATGTGCTGCCACCTGGTGACAGCTCAAAAAACAATTTTCCATATTGCTGTTTAATATTTCTGTTGAGGTTTGGTGTGTGGGCTCAGACCTATAATCCCAAGGGCTTTGGGAGACTGAGGTAGGAGGATCTCTTGAGCCCAAGGGTTTGAGACCAGCCTGGGCAACATAGTGACACACATCTCTACAAACAAAAATCTTTAATTAGCTGGGTGTCGTATCACATGCCTGTAGTACTGGCTACTAGGGAAGCTGAGGCAGGAGCATCACTTGAGCCCAGGAGTTCGAGACCAGCCTGGGCAAGATGGAGAAACCCTATCTTTACAAAAAGGACAAAAAATTAGCCGGGTGTGGTGGTGCATGCCTGTTGTCCCAGCTACATGGGAGGCTGAGGTGGGAGGATCGCTTGAGCTTGGGAAGTTGAGGCTGCAGTGAGCTGTGATCTCGCCACTGCACTCCAGCCTGGGTAACAGACTGCAACTCCATCTCAAAAGAAAAAAAAAGTGGACCTATGCAGTTCATGTTCTGTGATGTCCAAGTAGTGAAAGGATCAGGATCATTAGTCACAAGGCATTTTTTAATGAAATATGATAGAAAATATCATTGTATCACTCCTACTAAGGATAAAAATTAAATCATAACATTTTTGTTTCAGTTAATAAATCTACACACATATTTACTAGGTCACAATGTAAATTGTATTTCTTACTGGAAGTCAGAGCCAAAAAATTCTTAAAGCCTCTGTATTAGAGGCAGAGAGAGTGAAAGAAGAGACCAGGGAACAGGCTGCTACAGAAATGCAATCTGGGCTGCTAAGGATGATGTGTGGAGATGCCAAAGAGAGCCTCAAGCAGCAGAAGCTGGGGCTAGGCATGGTAGCAGCTCACACTTGTAATCCGAACACTTTGGGAGCCTGAAGTTGGTGCATCAGTTGAGCCCAGGAGTTCAAGACTAGCCTGGGCAACATGGTGAAACCCTGTCTCTACAAAAAATATTTAAGGCCGGGCACGGTGGCTCAAGCCTGTAATCCCAGCACTTTGGGAGGCCGAGACGGGCGGATCACGAGGTCAGGAGATCGAGACCATCTTGGCTAACACGGTGAAACCCCGTCTCTACTAAAAAATACAAAAAACTAGCCAGGCGAGGTGGCAGGCGCCTGTAGTCCCAGCTACTTGGGAGGCTGAGGCAGGAGAATGGCGTGAACCCGGGAGGCGGAGCTTGCAGTGAGCTGAGATCCTGCCACTGCACTCCAGCCTGGGCGACAGAGCGAGACTCCGTCTCAGAAAAAAAAAAAAAAAAAAAAATTTAAAACTTAGCCAGGCATGATAGCATGTGCCTATAGTCCCATATATTATTACTTGGGAGGCTAAGGTGGGAGTATTGCTTTAGTCCAGGGGCAGAGGCTTCAGTGAGCCAGATCATGCCACTGCACTCCAGCCTGGGCAACAGAATAAGACCTTGTCTCAAAAAAAAAAAAAAAAAAAAAAATTGCCAGAAGCTGGAGATGAGAAAAGGTAGCCTCCTACTGTCCAGATCCAGGTCCCATCAGAATATCTCATCCTCCTTTGCATCCCCCTAGCACTACTGCCCCAGAGCAGTGTCCTACCTCATTCTCCTCACCAGAATGGGAGCTCCCATTACTTTTCAAGTTCAACTGAGCTTGGACTCAGAAGGTACAGATATAGGCTGGGCACGGTGGCTCACAACTGTAATCCCAGCACTTTGGGAGGTCAAGACGGGCAGATCACTTGAGGTCAGAAGTTCAAGACCAGACTGGCCAACATGGTGAAACCCCGTCTCTACTAAGAATACAAAAATTAGCCAGGCATGATGGCGCACACCCGTAATCCCAGCTACTTGGGAGGCTGAGGCAGGAGAATCGCTTAAACCTAGGAGGCAGAGGTTGCAGTGAGCTGAGATGGCACCACTGCACTCCAGCCTGGGCAACAGAACAAGACTCTGTCTCAAAATAAATAAATAAATAAAAGATACAGCTATAAATGTCTATGAACTTGGATTTCAGGGGTAGAGGTCATAGAAAGCACTTAAAGTAACAGGAAGATGAACAGGTACAGCTGATTCTATCCCATGTGGGTGCTGACTCATAGAAAACACATCAGGGAGAGTTAAACCATTTTATTGCAGCCCAGCAACAAGGATGGGCAAGCAGTGAAAAGCCTCAGTAAAGAGGACAAATAATAGCTACATCAAGAGGGTAGAGGCAGGCAGTCCAGAAACAGGGCCTTGGAGGGGAGGGTGGGCAAAGAAGCCTTCATCTTACTACTCTTAACGAGTCCTTACAGGTCATTCAGGAGCATCTTGGGGCCCCAAAGGAATAGGCCCTCTTGCTTAAGACTCTGGGCATGGAGCTGAAAGCTGCTGGGCTCCAGTATAGGAAGAGTGCTCCTCTGGGGATCTAAGAGGAAGGAAAAGGGAAGAGAAAACAAGTCATCAGCAAGCATTGTGATATGCACAGAACTAGGCCCTAGGCCTTTCTAATAGAGGGACATACAGGACTGACAGGATAAATAGCAACAGATATCAATGAATTCACAGAAAGGCAGAGACTCCATTCTACCTAGTGTTAAATAATTAGGCAGCTGGCATTCAGGTACCATTCAGATTTAGCCTCCCCCAAAACAGGAATCCTTGTCCTTATCCTCACCTGGCTTCCATAAAAGTTCCCAGCTACTGTTACTGTCCAGAAGACTGAATTCAAAGCTAGATGAAGAAACAGACATGGTGAAGGTAGTGGCCAGAGGCAGCTTAGATTGGAGAACATGTATGGAGGTCCTGGAAAGGGGAACAGAACCAGAAACAGAGATGATGATGATGTGTCAAGGGGCCCCTACCAGCACAGAACTGTCCTCTTTCCTGAGGCTAGGACTCTGGTCTCTTCCCTCTTTTTTTGTTTTGTTTTGTTTTTGAGATGGGGGTCTCACTCTGTCACCCAAGCTGGAGTGCAACGGCATGATCTCGGCTCACTGCAACCTCCAACTCCTGGGTTCAAGCGATTCTCCCACCTCAGCCTCCCGAGTAGCTGGGATTACAGGCACCCGCCATCATGCCCGGCTAATTTTTGTAGACACAGGGTTTCACCATGTTAGCCAGGCTGGTCTTGAACTCTTGACCTCAGGTGATCTGCCCACCTTGGCCTCCCAAAGTGCTGGGATTATAGGCGTGAGCCACTAAGCCCTGCCGATCTCTCCTCCCTCTTTAACATCCAGACATATAAAGGTACCTCAGTGACTCTATATCAAGTAAACAATGCCCTTATGGGCTACAACCAGATACTCATACTGCCCCCATCAGCCCATGCCAAATCTAGGATAGCTGAACTTTGGTCCCCAGTGTCTGACCTGTGAGACAATTCCCCTCCACTGGCACAGCACCCACACCCCCTGACCTGAGGAGGTTGTGTTCCCTCCAGGCATCTTGGTCCTCTGTCCTGGCAGCCTCCAGGGTATGACCCTTGCCTTCCTGGCCACTTTGCAACTGCTCCAACATCTGCCAGATCATGGGCTCAGGTGGAACCAAACCTCTCGCCATGACTGTCCTCTTCAGCACACTTGGAACCCTCATGTGGGCAAGGATAGTTTCTCATGGCCGGGAGCAGAAGGGTTAGGAAGAAGAGCTCTGGAGAGAGAGTCAGCACAGGGAAGAGATTAATCGAGACAGGGGCAGGAGAGGGTATCCTGGCCTCCCTGCAGAACAGGATAGACAGAGAAAGGAAAGGTCCTCCACAGAGAAATATGCAGGGAGAAGTCTGAACCTAGTCCTACCTTCCAACTGCCAAACTGAGCCTGTCATCCCTTAGCCAGATCAGTTTCAGCAGCAGTTGCTGGCGCTGGCTCGCAGATGAGAGAGAATGTAAGGGGGCTGTTCCCTAACTTCTTTCCTTCTCCCTCCCTGCCTGTGACCAGCCTGCTGCCGAAAACTGAGACAGAAACATTCTGGCTCAGCCGTTGGGAAGCTTCCAAGCTGACTGAAAAGACTAAACTCACACCATGAGAGGCAAAGAGTGCAACAAAATACTTGGCCACACTTCTCAGTAGCTCAGGCAGTTGGAGCCATGACCACTTAATGGGAGAGCAAGAAGACTTTCCAGGCCGGGTGTGGTGGCCCACACCTGTAATCCTAGCACTTTGGGAGGCTGAGGCAGGCGGATCATTTGAGGTCAGGAGTTCGAGACCAGCCTGACCAACATGGTGAAACCCCATCTCTACTAAAAATACGAAAAAAAGTAGCCGGGCGTGGTGGCGGGCACCTGTAATCCCAGCTACTCAGGAGGCTGAAGCAGAAGAATCGTTTGAACCCGGGAGGCAGAGGTTGCAGTGAGCCAAGATTGCACCATTGCAACAGAGCCTGGGCAACAGAGTGAGCCTGGGCAACGGAGCAAGACTCCATCTCATAAAAAAAAAAAAAAAGAAGAAGAAGAAGAAGAAGAAGAAGAAGACTTTCCAGAAAAGCGGACAAGGAAACACATATTCACCCCCAACCTTTTACTTACTCAACTGGTACTGCAGCAATTTCAATTCCTTCTGCATAATCTCTGACTCCTCCCACAGCACTGTAGGAGTGACAGCAGTGCTATTCTAGAGTCAGTCAACAAATCCAGAGTAAGAAGGCCACCAGCCTCCCAGAATGCCAAAATTTCAAAGGCCTCAAGAAGGCAAGGTTTTGCCTATCACTTACTCAGTCTGCAGCCCCTGAGGAAGGCCATTGGTAGTACTGCATTCTCCTGGTCCTGTTTGCATCTGGGCTTGGGCTTTCTCCCACACCTGGCTCCGAAGGTCCTGCAGTTACCTTCTCCGCTCCTCCAGGCATTGCTCCAGGAGAAAAGCCCTCCCCTTTGGGGCCCCCTGCAGCAACCTTAGTGATGCTGTAGTGGGACAAGTTGGGGATCATCCTCTCTAAGAGTTTCACAAGACCCTAGATACTCTACTTGCAAAACAAGACACATGTGCACATGCAACAGGTGTGTGGCAAAATTGTATGCATACGTATGAAGCTGTGTGTATGAAGAAAATAACTGGCCAGATACATTCCAAGATACTGAGCTGGTACTTCTGCTGCTCTCGCTCTTCTAGCAGGCCCTGCACTGCCTGCCTTAGTGCCTCAGTCACCTACCCAGGCAGAAAAAAACATATGAGCTACTGTATAACAGCTTTTCCCAATCCCTAATATCCTCATCTCACACAAACATCACATATACACACCAAGGATTCCAAGCCTCACCTGAGCCTGAGATTGAAGCTAGGATCAGAGAATAGTAACCTCATCCCAGAGAGAGGATGGGCTCTAGGACTCAGGGCAGCTCAGTCTTTGTAGGACTGTGGGAGTCTCTAAAGCCCAAGGCTGTTGAGCTTGGACTCCTGACTGCAGAGGCAAGTGATGAGAGGAAATCCAGGTCCCAGCCAGGTCCCCGGCTGAGGGAATAAGGAAGGGTTAAGTGCAGGGTCTGTGTGGGGAAACAGAGTTAAGGAAAGGACAGAGTTGGAATTTGGAAGGAGTAATGGATGATACAGGCCCTGGAGGAAGGCACAGAAAGAGAAAGGGCTTGGAAGTAGAAAGAGACATTACTTACCTGAGTTGGAGACCCCAAGAGGATACAGCTACTGCTACAAAAGAAACAGTTGCACAGGTCAATGAGCTCTGAGAGTCCCTTAGCCTGCCCACGCAAACTGGGGACTTCCACCAACCCCTCACCTTAATCTGGGCCACATTTCCATCAGTAGTGTTGAGAAGCACATCCAGCTGCTCAAACCAGCTGAGGCTCCTACTCATATCCTGTGGCAGGGGAGCGGCAGGGGTCTGGCTCCCTGGTGTCTTGTGCTTACTCTCTCAGCGGGGGATACCCAAGGTACAGCCCAGGAAAGGCCACCACGTTAGATGGAAAGAGGGTAGTGGGGATGCAACTTGGAGTAGGGGGATGCACTATCCGACCAAAACTGCGATCGTGGGACTAGGGAAAGGAAGGACGCTCTTGGGGAACTGGGGGGAAAGCGGGATACCCTGATAATACGCAGATATCAGGTGGGGGTTGAAGATGCCAGAACCTGGTCGAGACCTCCCCAGAAGCAGTACACTGGCGCCACCACGCCAAACCTGTGCCAGTGACAACTGCCGCCGCCGGGTTCAAAACTTCGGGTTGGTTTTGCAAGTCCGACTTTGGACTGGCTGCCGCTGCGCCACCTGGGAAACTGAGTTCGCCTCTCGCGAACACAACCCGCGATGGAGGCGGCGGAACTACCTTTCCCTGGAAGAGACACGTACATGCACACACCCACCGTGTAGCTTGCCGGGAAACTGAGTCTTCCTGATTCCGTGTAGCTGTCTCCAGGGATCGAACAAACTACGCATCCCAAGATGCATCGCGCACTGTCCCGCTATTTTACCCGTTTCCTACCTGGGAAATGGAGTCGAAGTTGACTCAAAACGTAACGGCCCAATTGTCCTTGAGACTTCATTCCCCGGCAAGCTCAGCGTGTAACGTGCGCCATGGAGCCGAAAGTCGCAGAGCTGAAGCAGAAAATCGAGGACACGCTATGTCCTTTTGGCTTCGAGGTTTACCCCTTCCAGGTTAGTTTATCCCTCCTGCTGCTCTAGGCGAGATATATGATTGGCTTCGTTGCAACTGGCGTGAGGCCTCGGGAGCCTCTGCTCCTCCTGTGTTCCTGCAGCCCAGTGTCCATGTGACAACAGGGACAGGGTTTCAGTGGGGGCTTGGGTTAAAAAGATAGTGGTCGAGGCCGGGCGTGGTGGCTCACACCTGTAATCCCAGCACTTTGGGAAGCAGAGGCAGGCGGATCACCTGAGGTGAGGAGTTCGAGACCAGTCTGGCCAACATGGTGAAACCCCATCTCTGCTAAAAATACAAAATTAGCCGGGCATATTGGTGCATGCCTGTAATCCCAGCTACTGGGGAGGCCGAGGCAGGAAAATCGCTTGAACCCATGAGGCGGAGGTTGCAGTGAGCCGAGATTGTACCATTGCACTCCAGCCTGAGCAACCAGCGAAAGTCGTCTCAAAAAAAAAAAAAAAAAGTTGTCCCATGTTTGTCCTTTTATAGTATAATGCCGGATTGGTTAACAGGAGACACCATATGACCTGTAATGTGTGTGGCTCAGATTGTCACCTATATAATTTACAAGAAGAAAGGGACCTGTGAGGCAGAGTCACCTTGAAACTTCCTAAAGGATTTAGGAGAGGTCAAAGCCCAGAAGGTTTGCATAGCTATGATTTAGGTCAGCTGAAGAGGGACGGCATTCCTGGTGATGAACAGGCAAACAATTGGCTGGTTTGTTCCCTCTACCAACAGAAGGATAATTCATGATATTTCCAGTCATCAGTGCTGGACTGGGTAATGAAACTTTGTACACTCGCCTGGCACAGCAATCTCAGCACCCACCCCGACCCCCATTTACACAGTTATATTTCCCAACATCAGTGCCCTGTGCACTGAGCAGTTAAGTTACAAAGCTAAATCAACTCAGCTTGAGCCCTCTGCCTGATGCTTAAGAGACTACCCACTTCCCATTCCTTCCACCGAGTGACTCACAGCAGACCTGGGAGAGGATATAGAGGGAGAAGTAGGTTGGGTCTAGCTTGAGACTGGTCTTGCCAGAAAAAATGGAATTGAGCTATATATGAAAAGATAGATTGGAAGGAAGGAGGGTTATGTACATCCCAAATATCAGAAAAAGCTTGAGTAAAAGTGTGGAGATAGTGGTGTGGTGTTACCAAGTAAAAGGGCTTGATGCCTGATGTGCTAGAAGCCAATATTATGACACTGGGTTTTTGAGAAAACAAAAGCTATTTGTTGCAGATCAACCTTTAACTCTTTGAGACACTGTTTCAGTGGATGGCAGGTATGTGGAAGAGTGAAAATACCTATCTGGCAAGTTGAGTAGACCTGGGTATTAGGAGTTTTTGTACTGAACAAAGCCAACTGCAGCCCTGCCAGTCACCCTAGGCTCCTACCTCTCACCTCTCTACCCCCACATCCTATAAGACTGTCTACTGAATCTCCCAAGTCTATTCCCTTCTATTCCACCCGTCTATGCTGTGGTTCAGGCCACCATTTCTCACTTGGATTACTGTAATAACCTCCTTGCTGTCATTTTACCTCCAGTCCCTCCTCTACACTGCAGCCAGTTTGATCTAAAACTGATCATGCTAGTTTACTTCTTAAATCATCAGTGGCTCTTCACTATCACCAAATTAAATCCATATTCTTTAAATATTCAAAGCCAATCAAAATCTCACTCCTATTGATCTCTCCAGCCTTCTCTCCCTCTGATTCCCTCTACGGACCCTTCACTGCCACCAAGCTAGACAATTTTCAAATATGCCCAGGAATTTTCTGCCAGTGTGTTTGCTTATGCTGTGACTTCTGTTTATTTTATTCTTTATTTATTTAGAGACAAAGTCTCACTCTGTCCTCCAGGCTGGAGTGCAGTGGTGCAATCATAGCTCACTGCAGCCTCAAACTCCTGGGCTCAAGTGATCCTCCCACTTCAGTCTCCCAAGTAACTGACTCCAGGCATGCACCAAAACTCAGTGTCTCACTTTGTTGCCCTGGCTGGTCTTGATTCCTGTCCTCAAGTGATCCTCCCATGCATGTAAAGCACTGGGATTACATGCATGAGTCACCGCACTCAGTCTGTGACCTCTTTTTAAAATACATACCAGGGAGTTTATGTCTTTTTTGGTGAAATATAAATAATAAATGCACACCAGATTCTCCTCCCCACATCAACCTGACATTGACCAGTTGATTTTCTAGCCTTCAAGACTTAGCATCCAAGAAACCCTTTTCTTTTCTTTTCTTTTTTTTTTTTTTTTTTGAGACGGAGTTTTGCTCTTGTTGCCCAGGCTGGAGTGCAATGGTGCGATCTCAGCTCACCGCAACTTCTGCCTCCCAGGTTCAAGTGATTCTCCTGCCTTAGCCTCCAGAGTAGCTGGGATTACAGACATGCACCAACACACCCGGCTAATTTTGTATTTTTTTTAGTAGAGACAGAGTTTCTCCATGTTGGTCAGGCTGGTCTTCAACTCCCAACCTCAGGTGATCTGCCACCTCGGCCTCTCAGAGTGCTGGGATTACAGGCATGAGCCACCGTGCCCAGCCACAGGGAAGCCTTTTCTAATTTCAGAGGACCCCATCTGACCCTGTCATTGCACTAGCTATAGTACAGTCATTTCTGCTGTTCTTAGTTGATTCTGCCTATTAGAACTTTCTGTGGCCAGGCGTGGTGGCTCTCACCTGTAATCCCAGCACTTTGGGAGGCCAAGGTGAGTGAATTACTGGAGGTCAGGAGTTCAAGACCAGCCTGGCCAACATGGTGATATCCCGTCTCTACTAAAAATAGAAAATTAGCTGGGCGTGGTGGTGTGCACCTGTAATCCCGGCTCTCAGGAGGCTGAGACAGGAGAATTGTTTGAGCCTGGGAGGTGGGGATTGTGGTGAGCCGAGATTGCACCATTGCACTCCCGCCTGGGCAAATGAGCGAAACTCCATCTCAATAATAATAATAATAATAATAGGCCGGGTGCGGTGGCTCAAGCCTGTAATCCCAGCACTTTGGGAGGCCGAGACGGGCGGATCACGAGGTCAGGAGATCGAGACCATCCTGGCTAACACGGTGAAACCCCGTCTCTACTAAAAAGTACAAAAAACTAGCCGGGCGAGGTGGCAGGCGCCTGTAGTCCCAGCTACTCCGGAGGCTGAGGCAGGAGAATGGCGTAAACCCGGGAGGAGGAGCTTGCGGTGAGCAGAGATCCGGCCACTGCACTCCAGCCTGGGTGACAGAGCCAGACACCGTCTCAAAAAAAAAAAAAAAAAAAAAAAAAAAAAAAAAAAAAATAATAATAATAATAATAATAATAATAATAACTCAATAACTCTCTGCCTTTCTTCCTTTTTTTTGAGATGGAGTCTCACTCTGTTGCCCCGGCTGGAGTGCAGTGGCGCCATCTCGGCTCACTGCAACCTCTGCCTCCCGGGTTCAAGCAATTCTCCTGCCTCAGCCTCCTGAGTAGCTGGGATTTCTGCCTCTCTATTCTAAGTTCCTTGTCATATAATACATGAACCTATAGTAGACATGAGGGGGAAGAGACCTAACCACAACAGTCACATTATGAGTTGAGCACCGACACAGACTTCACTTATCTGTTACAGCAGTAAAACCAGCTACAATCAAACGAGTAATGGTCATTCCACTCTGTCCCAGTAATGCACAACCCCAGGTAGCCTGTGTAGACCTGTGTCAAGTGTTCTGCACTATGAGTCAGAAATCCCCAGTAAGTGATGCAGGTATATCCATAGCACTTCGTGTGAACAGCGGCAACCTCCACAACTATGTGATTTAGCAAGTTCATTGCAGGTTATGTTACAGGTCTTTAGTTCAGGCTTCTTGTGACAGTTCTTCTCCATGTTCAGTGTGTGAATGTGGGTGTAGACAGTGTGTTACAGGTGAATCCAATTTCTTGGATGTCCAGGCCAAGTGGACAAAAGCAAATATTGTGTGTCCTAAAACTGAAAATAAAGTTTGCATTAATCACATATTTGCTTTGCTGATTGGTCAACCTCAAAAACATAAGCTTGCTGGCCAGGCACGGTGACTCATGCCTGTAATCCCAGCACTTTAGGGAGGCGGAGGCGGGTGGACCATCTGAGGTCAGGAGTTCAAGACCAGCCTCACCAACGTGACGAAACCCCGTCTCAACTAAAAATACAGAAAATGAGCCAGGCATGCTGGCAGACACCTGTAATCCCAGCTACTCGGGAGGCTGAGGCAGGAGAATCGCTTGAACCTAGGAGGTGGAGGTTTCAGTGAGCTGAAA